CTTCTGCTGTGTTGCCCCACACAATGATGTCATCAATGTATTGCAGGTGTTCCAGAGCTTCACCCTGTTCCAGTGCAGTCTGGCTCAGTCCACGGCAAATAGTGGGGCTGTGCTTCCACGCCTGGGGCAGTCAATTCCAAGTGTACTGGATGCCCCTCCAAGTGAAAGCAAACTGGGGCCTGCACTCTGCTGCCAAAGGGATTGAGAAAAACACATTAGCAATATCAGTTGTGGCGTACCGCTTGGCTGCCTTTGACTCCAGTTCGTATCGAAGTTCTAGCGTGTCTGGCACGGCAGTACTCAGTGGTGGTGTAACTTCATTCAGGCCACAATAGTCCACTGTTAGCCTCCACTCTCCGTCAGACTTTTGCACTGGCCATATGGGACTGTTAAAGGGTGAGCGAGTCTTGCTGATCACTCCCTGGCTCTCCAGTCAACAAATCAGGTTACGGATGGGAATCAGGGAGTCTCAGCTGGTGTGATATTGCTGACAGTGCACTGTTGTGGTAGCGATCGGCACCTGTTGTTCTTCGACCCTCAGCAACCCCACCACAGAAGGGTCCTTCAAGAGTTCGGGCAAGGTAGACAGCTGTTTAATTTCCTCCATCTCCAAGGGAGCTATACCAAAAGCCCACTGGTACCCTTTTGGGTCCTTGAAATACCCTCTCCTGAGGTAGTCTATGCCAAGGATGCACAGAGCCTCTGGGCCAGTCACACAATGGGGTGCTTTTGCCACTCATTCCCAGTTATAGGTTCACTTCAGCCTCCAATACAGTTAGCTGTTGGGATCCCCCTGTCACTCCAGAAATACAGATGGGTTCTGTCCCTTTATAACTTGATGGCATTAGGGTACACTGTGCACCAGTGTCCACCAGAGCCTTCTACTCCTGTGGGTCTGATATTCCAGGCCATTGAATCCACACAGTCCAGTAAACCCAGCTGACCATTTCCTCCGCCTGGCTGGAGGCAGGGCCCCTCTAGTCCTGGTCATAGCATTCATTACTCACTTGTAAATACAAATCAGAAGTCCCTTTACTGAGATCAGGGGTAAGATCAGCCCTTCTACCCTGTCTGAGGAACTGCCCACTGGAGACTGGAGCAGCAATTTTCCTGGAAGAACCCCCTTGAGTGATGATTTTTTCTTGGAACTCACATACTGGTGCCTCTAGCGTCAAGGTAGATTTTTCCATCCCACTTCCTCATGTCCTCTCCACGGTCATGCAGGTAAAACCACAGGGTGGCCCATGGTGCGTACCCTCTATATCCTCTCTCTTGACCAGAGGGATGCTTACTCCTAATAGCTGAGATACTGGTCGGTACAAGTCGGGAGTTGGTTCGATCCTCTTTGAGTCGCTGAACCAGTTTCTCCACAGCTGGGAGAGGTGGGGAAGGAAGGGAGACTTTCTTTGTATTGCCGGGGTTGGCCAGCCAATTCATCCACCATTTGTCCCTCTCCATCTTTCCAGGTTATTACTGGAGGTGCCCACTGTCCTAGGCATTTGCCCATACTATTCCACACACCCTGCCACTTATAACTATCCAGACTTGGGGCAGATCTCTGGATGATATTCTTAAACTGCTTATTGACCTTAGACAAATCAAAACAATATTCCCAAGAAATACCAACACATGTATCTTAAGTACCCAAGGATGTTCAAGATACTGAAAAGTTGTTGTAATGAAGGAGGAAACATCATAGAAGAAGATAGTGAAAGTGCCACTCTGTATTTCCTCCATAAAAAACCTCTCAGAGGAAGAATTATAATTGCTAATTGTCTCCATGAGGCGGTACCTGAAGTACAATAATGGCTTCAGTACAAAACCCAAATCCCAGATTAAGCTCAAGGCCAGTGTTTTAATAACAAATCTCCCAGGCAAAACATCACTAATCACTGCGGAGCACAGCAAACTGCAAAAACCAACACAAATCTTTAACATGTACAGCAAAAAAACCCCTTCGAGCCCCCTGTTGGGCGCCAGAAAGGACTGTCGTGGCTTAACCCCAGCTGGCAACCAAGCACCACACAGCTGCTCACTCACCCTCCCCCTGACCCCCAGTGAGAAGGGGGAGAGAATCTGAAGAGCAAAAGTAAGAAAACTCATGGGTTGATATAAGAACAGTTTAATAATTGAAATAAAATACTATAATAATACTAATTTGTGATGAAAACGAAAACAACAAGAGAGAGAGAGGAACAAAACCCAGGAAAAACTAGTGATGCAACCGCTCACCACCCGCCACCCAGCCAGTCCCCACACACCGGTCACTGCCCCCCAGCCAACTCCCCCCAGTTTATACACTGAGCATGACGTCATATGGTATGGAATAGCCCTTTGGCCAGTTTGGGTCAGCTGTCCCAGCTATTTTCCCTCCCAGCTTCTTGTGCACCTCCTTGCTGGCAGAGTATGGGAAGCTGAAAAGTCATTGACTTAGTGTAAACACTACTTAGCAACAACTAAAATACCAGCGTGTTATCACATTATTCTCATGCCAGATCCAAAACACAGCACTATACCAGCTACTAGGAAGAAAATTAACTCTATCTCAGCTGAAAACAGGACAGATGCATAAAAAGTAGAATGTTTTCAACTTATTCTCAATTAAATGAAGAATTTTTGCGAACAAAAAAAAACACACGAAGGACTAACTTCACCAGTTTAACTCTGGAGAATCTGGAAAAACACAAATCCTGGTTACACCTGGTTTTGAATCTGACTTTCACCTCACTGTCAAACTCAAAAGACATCAGTATTCTTTTTAATAAGCTAACAATTACTTTCAGAAACTAGTCTAGTAAATATTGTAAGCCTTAGAAAATTCAGTAACTTTACTCTTTATATTTAACAAACTAAGCCCAACCCAGTATTGTTCATTATACTTAAGAACCAGACCATAATACACTCAAAGCATGAGAGACACTGATATTCAGAATACAAAGGTATTTACATAGTTAGCCTCTAAAAGTTTTACTCCTGTGAGACAGCTCCAAGTGGATGCCTTTTTCAAGTCTATGAATGCAAGTGAAATTAATAATAAAAAGTGTCTTACCTTAGAGGGACCTAAACAATCCAATATTAGCTGGATAGTTATTAAAAATATTGAGGTTGTACCAAGCATCTAAGCCATTGCTGAATCAGTAAAAATTCTTGAACTCCTTGATATATTGTAGATCCTTTGCTAAAAATGAAGCTTGAAAGCCTACTGATTTTCATCAATTTTAAATTTGCTGTATTAAATGTAACAAAATAGGTCACTGATTTTCTGTTTTGAGAAGGGAAAAGTAGTTTCCCACCTATGGTTTCTGTACCATTATTTCTAAGCCACCATCTTTTTACAACTGCACCACTTTCCCAAGTCTCTTTCTGATAAACTCTCCAACACCTTTAATAACCTATGTTTTAGTTTCCACATGCAAGTGTTCTTCCATATCACTGGTAAATCTCATTCTTCTCTGAATCTCTTTTAATTTCAAGATCTCTTTAAAACTCCATTCTGTTTTTTATAAATGCTAATGGCTACATTGCCTTTTACTTAAAATTTAAAGCATCTACAAACACTTGCTGACTCATTTAATACAATCCACAAGAAGTCAGATGCAGTTCATACACAATGCTAACCTCATTTCTACTGACTGCACATAATTTTGCAGCTATCAACCGTGAAATTTCAGTTATCAAGTTGCAGTTATTTGACTTGGTTATGTTCCTCTGCAATTCTCCACCACTATTTCCGGAGTGCCATCTTTGCCCTTTAGATAATACTACCTAAACACAATCTATAAAATTCTAATTTTCTAAGCAACTAGAACGTGATTCTACTTAATCACGGCTGCAATAACCTTTTTAATTCAGTATTTGTATTGTTTTCAGAGCAAATACAAAGAAAGTTACTCTGAATATTCTTTTTAGACTCAGAAGAATAACAAAAGGAAGCAGGATTCATAGCATAAATAAGCTAGCAATGAACAAAACTGAATGCACAGAAGTTACATAGTACAAAACAAGTGAATCAGCAAATCAAAAAAATTAAGAAAAAAAAAATCAGTAACTCCTATATAGATTATTTCTGACATTCCACCATTAATCCTACAATAAGCATACAAGCAGTAAATAGTAAAAAACCCACCCTAACTGTTCAACTACAGTGTCCAAAATCTTAATGTACATTACTATCTATAGTTATCAGTGCCAAAAGGCACTAAAGCCAAAAAGGGAAAAGATTAAAAGAAATAAGGTAGTAAGAATAATTGACAGTGACTGCAATTACATGTATACCAGGCAAATCATCTTAGAAAACAATCTACCAACAGAATTCCAATAGCAGAAAGATTTATTCTTTTTTGGGGGTAAAGCAAGAGAAAGTCCCCTTTATCATACCAGCTAGCAGCCTGACAGATGCAAGAGCTGCCTTATTTGCATTTTGTGTAGACTTTTGACGCTGTAGGTTATTTTCAAGTACCAGTACTTCTAAAGGAGTGCAAGTTGAGTGTTTACCTAACATTTAATTGACTTTAAAATTAATTTTTGGGCAGGTACATAGATCTTCCTAATTCATCAAATCAGATGATTCTGGACTAGATGGACTACAAATGAAACTACAGCTATTTTCTGAGCAGCTGGCTTATAATGCTGTTCTTTATTCCCCACAAAGAACATACCAACTTTAGATCACATACATAGCACACTTTAAACAGTACCCAGTTACTTGCCTTTGGAAGTTTAACAGCTGGCTCTTTGGACTCCTCCTCTTCATCACTGTCCGAATCCCCACTCTGTACACTGTTCTTTGAAGCCAAAGATACAGATGCTTCCTTTTTTTGCCACTCCAACACACAATGGCGGACATTGCAGTAAACATTAAAAGCTGAAGGGTTGCTATGTAATCTGATATCTGGTATGGTTATTGTACTCTCTAGGTTTTCAGTCTGAAAAACAAGATTAGTTTTAAGTTCATTAAGTTTCAAGCGCTGCTAAATACAAGTAATCAACAGTCTCAATAATTTTGGCCAACCAAATGATTCTCAAACTGGAGATTGAACTTTCCTGTTGAAGTACCAATTTATTTCAGGCAGGTAAGAAAGGAGGAAGAGGAAGAAATTTCAACATATTCCATCTGGCTTTAGCCTCTACCTCTCAAACTGATGAGGACACTGGAACGGAAAATGAAAGCAGTTCAGGCTACAGAATGGTCCAAACCTGTACCACAGCCAAAAGACTAGCAGAATTCAGGATATACCTTCTTAACAGGGGCCAGAGTTTTGTTTGTTTTTTTTTTTTTTTATTACTATTATTGATTTTTAAAATGCATTATTTATTATTCCAGTTTCTAACTTTAATATACTGGTAAATAATAATAATTTAAGCTACTTGCTAAATGTATATTAGAAATTAAAAAAAAAAAATTAGCTGTTTTGTCATTAAATGTAAACAGATGGCAAGTTCAAAAACTCCCATGGCAGGATGCTGTGGATAATAATTTTGTATAACTAGAAAAGAAATAAAAACCTAATGGCCAAACTACTGAATACAAAAATATATCAAGACCTATGAAGTAACAGGACACCAACTTGTTTTCAGAAGCCCTGATCCACAAAGTAAGGGTTGGAAAACTGTTGTTACGAAACTACCATGACCCACTGCCCTACCCAACTACTACCCTGCCCCACCCTTTCCTTGGTATCTACTACTGGTATATTACCATCAGCCACTACCAAGACACAGAAGAGCCTTCACGGGCCTGTCATTAGACTTGGAAAAATGTTAAGAAAAAACTTTTTTTGTAAAACATCTTTTAAGTTCTTCCCCATACTCTCCCCTTCTGCAACAGTAAGATGGGACAGAAGGAATGGCAGACTTAAACAAACAAGACCCCACAACCAAAACAAAAAAATTTCCCAGGCAGGGTTAAATTTTCTCTTAGGGGGTGTACTACCAAAGACTAGGTTGGTTTGAGCACAGGCTATGGAAAAACTGGACTTCAGGCATATGGGAGGAAGCAATTCCCTATAATACCTTGGCGTAGACAGAGGGCACAGAGACTACATAAGGAGAGAAGGCCTAGGTTAAGAGTACAGGACCAATTTGCTTGAACATGCAAGGCAAAATCTGAAGGAGCATTAGGCTAGACTGAACCAGGGTCATGACTAACTTCACAAGGTTATTTTGGTTTGTTTCTTGTATTCTTGTGAAGCAGTGACAGCAGAGGTATTTTGTCTCTTTCTTTCTTTTTATTTAAGGGAAATAGATGTTGCGAATGATCATGTTCATTTGGCAGCAGAGTACACAGTAAATTATATTACAGTGATTTGGAACAGATCAGAATGGAAGTACTCATACATCTGTGAGAGCAGTGATGGGAAAGAGGACTTGAAGCTAGGAGAGAAGAGGGGAAAAGAAGTTTGAGAACCAGTGAACTGGATAATGTTTTAATGGGGTGATTTATTTTTCTACAATATGGTAGCCACAACTTTGTACATCAAAACACAGCAATGGTTCACAACACATTTTTATCTGCACTTATCTTTTTATTATTACCAGAAACAACATAGGCTTCTAAATTAGACGGTTTAACAGCATATGTTACAAAACTTAACAGAAAATTCAAAATAACTTCAAAATATTTCATAGTTTACATATTTCCTTTTATTTTTGACTATAGTATTATTCTAACTGTACATTTTTGCATATCCTTCCTTTCCATTATTACTACAAAATTATTGCAATCTAAAACATTAAGAAGCAATGGTTTACTCTGTAGCCTGTTTCATCCAACACAGACAGTGTGTTAATTTTTCTTACCTGTGTCAGCAGTAAGCACAAAAATATAAAGGGGGGGGGAGGAGCACTAGAAAAAGTTCCTTACATACACACTGAAAGTTTGGGGTTCCCCCCCACCTGTTTTTTTTTTGGCACAACAGAGTTTCTGCCATTTTGATTGAAAGACAACATAAGCTTAGTCCTTGTTCAACATGAGTATCTTCGAAATAATAAAACTGCTGTTAAAAACCCACAATATTAATCAGTGCAAGAACTTAAGATACAACCTCCTATGTTATTCCAGTATCAAATTGCATTAAAATACATTTGGACTGATACCAATGATAATGAGCTACTACATACTTTAAAATGTATTTGGCACCAGAAAACTAAACGGTTGTAACATATGACTCTTCTGTATGTCAAATATCCATACACATACCCCAAGAGTTTTTGCAGCTGCTCTTAAGGCAAACACACAGTATCAGCTTTCAGCTTTAAAGCTAATTCAGTTGAACTGCACGGGTTAAAAACTTACTAAATAAGTGTACCATGCATTTCCTAGTTTACTGACAGTTACAGGAAGAGAAAAATATCCTCTGAAATAACTATCTGAAGTTCACTTATCTAATTAGCATCATGTATTGTAATTATAACTTCTGTGAAGTTTCCATTCCAGTTCTCTCTTGTCAGGAGTTCAGCTTAGTCTTACACCCCAAGTTCTGTAGCTCACGTAGCCTCTTTTGGAATAGGTTGGCCAAATTGTTTAACCGGCACAGATAATTTTAGACATTACAGTGCTAGATAAAATATCAATATGTTTTCTTGCCTATTAATAATAAGCTGGATAATTTTCAGAAATAAACTCCTTCCTTATTCTCGATACTTTACAACTGTTAAAAAGTCCCTTACCTAATGCTTTAGCTTTTAATCAGTAAACACTTTAACCATTCTATCTTTGTGTTTAGTGTCTCACTCTTGTACAACAGTGCACAAACTAGTCATAGACAATAATCTCCTACCCAGACTTCAGTACAGCATAACATTCTCCAGAAAACCCTGCTCTATTTGAAGAGTGTAGCACTAGAATATACAACTCAGAACTAGAGTTTAATTCCTAGCTGTGATGTTAATCCACTGTTTACATTTCTTAGTTCATACCTCCACTTCCCCTTCACAATACCTTATCCCTGAGAATCGTAAATTCTTTGAAACTAAAAGTATCTTATATTCCATTCTGTTAAATACTTGACAAATGTAGTAGCAATCCTAACAATGTCCCTTAAGAATAATTTTCAAATTCACTACCTGGTTTTGTCAGTTTAAAAATATTGGCCTTATGATGCTACCAAATAAAGCCATTTTTGTAGAACAAGTTGTTTGGTTGTAAGAACAGGTTAAAACTTAAGGATAATTATGGCTTTCACTGTTTACTGTCTTTCATTTGAGCAGGAAAAAACCTTGATAGAATTAACATTAAATGGATAAGCATACAAATACTTAGCATGTCTCAAGGCAAAAGAAAGGTGCTGAATAATAAGACATGTTGTTTCTGGTTGCAGAGTAGGAAGGGAACTTCAAATCATCACATTTCTCCCCCCTGCCCCCAACTTCACCATAAGGTAAAAAAACAGTAATGATTTATTTGTGATCAATTTGCTCAAGTCTCTGAGCAGCTTTATAGTTTCCAGGTCTTCAAAACAAACATCTGTTCAAAAGTGGAGGTATATGAGCAGGTTGTATAAACACCACTTTCTTAGATTTCTTTTACAAACTGCAGAGATGGAGCTGATTAAAAAAAAGAAACAGGAAAACTTTCTGCCCCTCTAATGCAAATGGTCATTCAGTGAGCTGTTTTTTTCCCCCCTCCCCCTTTTTTTTCTTCAACAGTGGTAGTGGAAAAGTATTCAAAACAGACATCAGAAGTTTTCTCCATATGAGGCAAGTTTTTTCCTTTCCAGATTACAACAGATTCCTAACTTTGCTGAGGACAGATGCATTGATCAAGTTAGGAAACCGGGACTTACACCCCATCTCAGCTGGAAGTTTCCTTTTCTGCAACTGAGAGCCATGGCATCGGGTTGCTCTTCTACAGAGTCATAGAATCATAGAATGCTTTGGGTTGGAAGGGACCTCATCCAAACTTCCCCAATTATATGAGATTCATGCTACCACCTGTACAATCTTGCTACTGGCTCACAGATTTTTGAGGTAGAACAGATCATTATGACAATCTAACCACTAACTGTGCCTACAGAACCCCACTTAGTAATTCTTACATCAAACTAATAAAGTGTATTTTAAGCTACAACAATTCTTAGTGACACTGCATTTCATGTTGACACAAAATACTTCTAGATTGCCAAGGAAAACAGTGGAACTTTAACCCAAAATGTTAATCTACTTCTAAGAACGCAGTGAAGGAAGTTATTAATTTTGTGCAGATCTAGGATTGTTAATAAACTTGATCTCTTGAGCTATGGGATACATTATTTCAGGAAAAAATCTCACCCTAATAGCTTGTTTCCTTAGTGTTAAGTACATCAAGTTCCACAGATGTATGAACCATCTTGTGAAACTGTGGATAAGGTGAAGAGCAACAATCACTTTTTCTGCACCTCAATGTCCTATTCTTAATGGCTGTTGGAATATTGCAATCCAAAGCACTCACTAAGTATAAGAATGACTAGAAGCCCAGCTTCTAGGATGCCTGAATAGAAGACGAGGTGATAGGCTCTACATTTTTTTTCTCCCAAAGCATTTGGTTTCTCAGAATATGTAATTGCTATTGCTTTCAAAAAGAATGGAGCTTCAAGACTGGAAAACAGAATTATGCTTTTTGATTTAGTGGTTTTTGTAAGAGCTGTAAGGAAGTTGGACAGCTGAAATCCTTGTCTTTATTGTTTCACTTGGTATCATCATAAATTGAAAATGCACCTTCCTAAATCAAGATACATGATGAACATACATTGTAAAACTTAAGATACCCAGTATTTGTTACATCTTCCGTCTTGAGTTCTGGAAAAATGTATTTGTGATGAAAGGTCATTTCAATAGTCAGAAGGACTAAGGCATCTTTTTCAGGGGTACAGACAGAGAATCTGTAAAGGCAATAAACCTAATTAAATCCCTCACAAAAGTTTCCTGTATTTTAGGTAGAGAAAGCAGAAGCAGATGATGCTCTCCAAACATTTAAGATAAAATTAGAAAAGCCTTTCTCTTGAAATTTTAAAAGCTACTGAAGAAAGAACAATTTAATCCTGAACTACTGAATAATGAAATCTAAATGCAAGTCTGAGAAATTGCAATGCCAATGTAAGTAAAGAATCATGAACATAGTTTTAATACATGAAGGTAAAATTTTATTTCTTGTGTGTTGCTTTTTTTTTCCTAAAAGATAAGAGGTTATCTTATGAAAGAGAGAATGAAGCGCAGATACCCATACCCTGATGTGTGGCTTGTCCTTGTAAATGAATAGTCCCCACTAAATGGAAGGATGCGTTATGTAGGAGAGGTTAAAACAGCACAGGTTTGGTTCATAAAATAGAGCAACCAGACTCACAAGCGCTCTCCTCAGTTAGCCTTTTGTAATGTTCCAGTACGCTCAAGTAAAGAAGTGGGAAAAACAAAACCCTTGTCTCCTTTACACTTGTCTCACACCTAAACGAACCGTTTTCCCAAGAGACGAAATCCATACATAGCTTATTTGCTGACCAATTTATTTCCTTCCTCTTGAACCTGATGAGTGCAGTTTATTCTCAGATGTGATAGAAATAGACTATAATCTAGGAGAGGAAAGTTAATCTCTTATTAAAGATAGGTAAGGCTATAATAACCATCTGATCTAACCAGTGCATAACACAAAGCACAGAACCTCATCAAATTCTTCTTTGAACGGTTCAAACATCTCTTAGAAAGGGATGCCCTCTTGAGGTTGAAACACCACATAATACAAAAGCCATTGAAAACACTGCCAAATTATTTGAGAAGCTATGTGTGTTTTTAATGATACAAATATTTATCCCAGTTGATCCACCTTATACATCTAATAATTAGCTTGCAACAAATTTGTCTGCTACATGAACCGTCCTTTCGCGAGGTTGTATTCCTTCCATTTGTATAAAGCTAAACAAGTTATAGTTTAAAACTTCTGCATAAACTAAACAGGTGGATGCCAATGATTGGAAGTACATTCTCTGTCTCTGGCAGACTCAGGTTTTTCAGTATTCTTCAAATAATGTTATGAGAACACTAGATGGTGAACTCTGGCTTCCCATCCAGTCTCTCAGCTAAGTGTCCTAAGCAATACTTCTATGAGTTAAGAGTAAAGTGGGAAAACTCCAGAGAGTGAAAAGGGGGGAGGGACAGGAAGCAGCAATATTCAGTGTTGAAGTAAGTTGAACAGCCTACAATTTTCTAGTGACACTTGTTGCCGAAAAAGGGGGGGGTGGGGGGAACGGGCACAGGGGCAGGAATCCGAAGTGCTACACCCACGTCTAATAATCATATTACTGTTTTCTCTGTAAAAGTCACTCTATTCAGCACTGATTTTCTAAAGCCAAAAACACAACACACCCACATGGAAAATTTTTATACCTCCATTAAAAAAAAATACTAAGCCACAAAACCAAAAGTTAACATTAGTTCAAATACAAGTGATCATAACATGACCTCAGCTTAGAAACAGAATAAGGCTCAAACTACTGGGCTGCATTAAACAGCGATTAATGTTTTATACTTAAAATGTTACAACATTTAATGCTTAAATGGTGGAAATAATTTTCTTCCAGTTGCTCAACAATAACTTTTTTTATTTTCTTTCTTCTTCATTGACTCAATTATCATTTTTAGTAAGTGCAGAGTATAAATAAATTTTTGGGTTCCATCAGCTTTACCTCAATTTAAGACCCTCCCTGCCTCTAGTAAGCATATTAAGAGAAAGCTCCCATCTCCGTTCAGACTAGAAGACCCTGGTTCTTAAAAATAAACTGATGCACACAAGCCCTCCTGCTCAGAATGTCCAGTAGTGATGGGCTTTTCAATCTGCCCTATTTTAAGGCTTGAAATGGAAACTCGTATTTTCCTGACAATACACACATCTGTTTTCAGACATTGCAGTGCAAAAATTATCATTGCACTTATTCTGCACTGGGCTAGCATGGGGATGTATTGAAAAGCATGGGGCGGGGGGAACCACCAACAAAAAAACCAAGGAAATAACTAAAACCAAAAACTAAACCCATCCCACTTTGTCAGTAAACAAAGTTTGATAACCTAAAGATATGAAATTGATTTTATCTTTCCTTCTCTTCAGCTACATTTTTCAGGAAATACACAATTTCCTGCTATCATGCTGGAGTGCCTTTCTGTACCTCAGTCATTTGGAACAAACACCAATGCTCTGCTGGTCAACCCTGGCCTGCCTCAAAGACTGTCTAGAATAGAGGCATCAGTAAAAGACAAGCAAAAACACATTATGCCTTTCAAAGGCAGATAAATGTCACTTAATGCTTCAAGTAGAAGCTGTTCAAAATCCAAGAAAAACCTTGAAAACAACCCTCCATAGGCATGAGGTGCAGAGATGATCAGGTAGCGCCAGTTCCATAACTACTAACAAAAACCAGCCTTTAATATGCTCATATCATCTTTGGCCATTCAGAAGGAATCCTGTCAATCCATTTATCCAATGCAACTAAATCCAAGAAGCACATTTGACTGTCAAGCTTGTGAAGAACAGCAGTTCTGGATTTAGTTTCCTATTTGGCAGTTCAACTAGGGCACCGCTATCCAGAAACACAAGGTTCCCTTTACATAGTAACAATGATCAAAGCTGAAGAGTTATCTTATTTTAAAAAGACACACTTCTGTCACCAGAGAGAACGCACAAAGACTAACTACATTCTGCAAAATTTCTTCAAATTTCTAACTTGGTTTTCTGTGTTTACAGTGGGTCTGATAAAATCATGAAGGGAACGGGGCTAAAACTTCTAATGTCATAGCAACTGAAGAAAGGGCTGAAAAATTCAGTTTGGACCAGAAATATATTTCACTGTACAGTACTGAGAACAGAAGTGAAGATAAGCCCCTTCTACACCATAGTCTGGAGCTGCACTACTTGAGATAAGCAGAACAACCTATTGCCAAAAAGGCAATACCAAATGAAGAGATAGAGGGCTTGCTTCACCCTCCCAAAGGTTTGGCAAATAGGGATAAGATGGCCAATTTGATCTACAGTGTATTTGTATTGTAAGGGCATTCAACTGACTAGAAAGTGTTTTTACTGGATATTTCAGTGGTTCTGTCCTTTGGAACCATTCCAGAAATGAGCTACTTTCTCTTTACTGACTACAGTAGGAACCTAGGAAGAAGCCTCTGTGCCTGCAGTGAGCCTTCATAAAAATCTCTCCAAGACTCTAGCTTAAACAGAGAAATAATAGCTAATAGAGAAAGAATGCAGCAGAGCAGTACTTTAAAACACTGTTGCTTCTGTCTAGATTTCTTCTCTGCAACAAGGAAACATACACATTTTTGTGAAGTTCACTATACTGCTCCCATGCATTTAAAGTGATGGGGGTAGAGCTTACATGGGGAGAAAATATTAATAGAAACAGATAAGTATCATCTGTTCCATTGTGGAGGAATTTTCAGAGGTAACTTTGGATTCCTTAGACATTGAATGCTCCCTTTCTCCTTTAGCCAGTATGGACAGAACTCTTCACAGCAGTAGTCTCTAACTGTTGGCTAGATATGCACCTCTCAAATTTTAACTCTAAGACCAAAATGTTTAGCTACGTTTACAGTTTAGGAACTGGAGAATCAAAAATGTTGTTCATATTTTTTCATGCTAATCATTAGTAGCAAACACAGCTGAATAAGGTTAACATTGGTATCACAGTCATGTAGAATACAGTAAACAAACAATACTGGCCTATTATTATCTTTTCTAAACAAATAAATTGCTAGTTACACTTATTTTTTCTTGCATTTCTCTCAATTGAAATTACTTCCATTTCTGAGTCAGAACTTTGTCAAGTTAGTTACAGACTTACCTTGTTGCGTGTTTTTACTTTCAATTTAGTCTTCTGTTTCCTTTTCAATTTTTTCTTGCTAAAAAGTTTCTTACTTCTGAAAAAGAAGAGAAAAGCCATGAGAACAAAAGAATTAAACTCCCTTCTGTACCCCATGGCAAACAGCAGCACCATCAGAGGAAAAAAAATGTCAGAAGTCCTCTAAAATTTTTTCTCCTAAGCAAAGGAAACCAACACAGGCAGTATTTTAAAGTATAGATCAGAATATAAAGCACGTAAAATTATGCTTTCTTAGTGCTCCACTGAATTAAGGGCCTTTACTCTCACCTATTTAAGCAGAATATATGCTAGGACAGACAAAAAAATCCATATATTTTATACTGTTTTACCCTACTGCTTCTATTACAAGTCCATTAGTGCCACACCAATGCTAGAAGCAAGAATTATTGATGATTCTCAGTAATATAACCTGTCTGCACAGAACACGTATGTTTTGGTAATTCTTTACCAGCTAAAGATTCAAGCCTTCCAAGACAAAAAGGAAGCTTTAAAAAATATATCGTTTGGCAGAAAATTCAGTTGGTGGAAGAAACTGCAACTTTTGAACACAGCTTTTTTCATTTTGTCTGGACTTCTCCCACTCTCAGCTTACAGACTTTTCATTTCCACACATGCTCGTCTAATCCTCTTCTGCCCACACCTCATTCCTATCACATTCTTTTTCTCCTCCATTTTACTACCCATTCAAAAAAATCAAAAAAAAAGACACCACAGGAAAAAAAGACACCATATACACACACACACACAATTGTTTTGTCACCATCAGAGATTATTCTGAGATGCATGCTTTTTAACCTACTTTACATTTCTCTGGTCCATTCAGATTACAAGCTTTCCACAAAAAAAGGCAGATATTATCTGTGCAGCATACAGCTGATCCTATATAGGACTTTATGCAACAGCTACTAACAGTTCTCTGTGCCACAAACGTTACTCAAATAGTTTACAGTTCAGATTAGTTGGAAAAAGAAAACTATGGAGTCTGAAAATCACAGGCAGTAAGAAGTTGCACTTTCAGGTAACAAACTGGAAAGAGAATGCATAAAAACCTAAGATTCTCCTGATTCTCAAACAACTTTGTTCTAAGTAAAAATTTTGAGGGACTAAAAAACTATTGCTTACCACTCTCTCCCATACAGCATTCAAACTGCAAGAGTATACAAGTCTCTGTATATGGTCCAGCAGTCAAAAAATGGAAACTAAAGTTTGACCAACGGCCACCAGTCAGAAAACAAGCTCAAACAAAGAACCCCTGCAGAGTATCCCAGGAAAGCTGCCTGCTAGAAATTTCATCGCCTTTCCCATCTTCACCTATTAACAAAGAGGGAGGTACATTCCTTGTCAAGACACTTCCTGCAGAAATAAATCAGCTCACCACTTCTCTTTTAAGGAACCACAACCACCATTATCCTAGAATTAAGAGAAATGATTCAGTGAGGAGGAACTCCCCCCCCCCCCCAGTAAATTAAAGCTTATAAAAGGAACCTAGATGACCTCCTAAGGTTCCTTCAACAGTAAAGTTTCAATATATAATAGTATACAACCTATTTAAGAAGCAGGGGGGAAGAAATTTCATACAACCTTTAACGTCCAAATTTCTATAATCAAACTCCATAGATCATTTCACTATTTAGTTATTCTTACATTGGACAAATTTTTCTTCCTTATTAGAGTTTAATGCAGTTAATTCTTATTCTGCTGTCAAACATGAAGTACAGTGCAGTCCCTTCCATTCTGTAGCCACTCAATCTTCTCTGGACCAAATACCCTTTTATGAAACTTTCACCCTAACTTTAAGTGTAAAAGTCCTGATTTATTTTGGATGACTTCTGGGCTCTCTCAGGCCATACCACAAGTAAACAGCATTGACCAAAACTGAAAACAGTACTTATTTTTTGCTGTTGAGAAGAGGAAGAATTGCCTCATATGCCTCCAAGGTCACACTTTTAACTGTATTCCCGGTATTATTTGGCAGCTTCACAGAATTATGGCATAGCACACCTATGTAACCCAGAGTAACTTGAAAACGTTTTCCTGCAAACCTCCAAACTGAGCTTCCAATACTCTTTATCTAGTTGTGCTATTAATTATGCCTTTTAAACACAGTACAATTTGCACTTCCAGCGACAACTTCATAAGCATTGCATGCTTTTTCTTTTTTTTTAAAAAGGGACACTAACTCAAGTTGCCAAGACATTTCAAATTTAATTCTGCCTGACAAAATCCTTGCAAACTCTCCAAATTTGTTATAGTCTGCAAACATTATAAGCACTTTTTTGTCTTGTAAATATTTCACAGGACCGGTCCCTGTATTTTTGTATAGATTTCTCTGTGTGTATGTATAGATCTAGAAACCCCCAAAATTAAGACTTTTTTTAACCTCGCTAAGGTTGTGCTCGTTTCCAAAGTGACAAAACCCCCACTATTTTGCAGACTAACTTCATTTGTCAGTGATACCTAGACAATATTTTCTCCAATTAGCAAGCAGGAACAATCAGCAATGGGCTTACTTCCTCTTTCAGATTCCAAATGGTGTTGCTATTATCTCCCTCATTCATACATCAACCATTAAAGATGCTGCAAGTATAAACTTTTCCTAGTCACTCCACCATGGCAGTCATTATTTTCACCAAGTTTTAGGCTTGAACAATTTTTTACATGGAAGCAACTTCAGTATAGTAATGCCAAGTTGAGAATCCACATTTATCTCGCTATTTTTTTTTCTTAAAACAAAACCTCAAGGATACTGAAATCCCAACGTTTTTGTTGGGAAGTATATCTTCCCCTGTATCCAAATGAAACTTCAGAACTAGTAAGTGATTAATTAAAAAATAGGAAAACCCCCTCATCAACACTAACTTTATAAACAGTTCTGAGTAATCTATCATTACCATGCATAATTCTGAGACTAGTATGTTTATAATGTATCTGCATATAACATATAAAGGTATATATGTGATTATCCACAGTTCTACTGCTATATAACATTATGCCAGGAAGTTTTAATATTCAGATAGAAAGGATAAAATAATGGCAAGTATATTCATGAAAAACAACGTTAAGCAGATTATGAGTAATTTCCTGTTGGAAACCACACGTGTTAATTATAAGTCTGACTCTTCTACTGCCTGAGCATTAACAAGACCTGATATGGTTTGGTCGGATTTTTTAGCTAAATTATTAATTATGTTTTTGGTTACAATTGTAAATTGCTGTCAGCTGTCATTTGTAAAGGTCCTGAAACTCTATGCTGACAACCTGCTTCCAGTGGCAGAAGGCCTTCAGCCTTTAACTTTTAACTCAGCTGTTGAGAAAGGTTAGCTCACACAAACCAAACACTGATTATCAGCAAATCTCAGGCACCTTTTCTGCAAACTGCTTCAAGCTATTGTAACATTTGAAACTAAGTTAGCAGTTTTGAATTGGACCACAAAGGAAGAGCAAGTCAAATGAGTGCAAAACATGAAGATACCTTGAGAAGAAAATACTTGTGGCAAATGGACCTAAAGAAACACCGAATGGTGCTATTTACAGCCTTCACGGAAAAATCTGTTGAGAATAAAAGCAAAGACCTAAAATGTTCAACCCTGGAATACAGAACAATTGTCTCAAACCAAAGGTGAAAAAAAAGAAAGGTCCAACAACCAATTGCTGGACAACTTAAAATATGTAAAATAGCTGTTAAATGACATGATTGCAACTTCTATTCAGCTTTCTGGCACCTGTAGTAGAACGAAGTAAAAGCAAGCTTAGTTTATTTGTTTTCAAACCAGAAGCAGCATTAGCTAGTACTTAAAACATTTGCTGCATTATTAGGGGGACGCTCCTCAGTTGTCTCAACACCATTGCTATTACTCTGTTCAAGAGAGCTGAGGAAATGCAAACAGAGCATCTTCCTTCAAAGTCACAATAATCCTGAATTGCAATTCATAAGCTTAAATTTGAGAAAGAAGCTTTGTGTTGAGTGTCCCCCCCACTCAATGTTGTTACTGAATTACTAAATATGGGTTAACATGTTAACCTTATATTAATAGTGTCACACTTGCACAAGCTCTTCTAGGCTGTATGTTACACTAAAGGTGACACTGATGAGTGGAAAAAAGTATTATTCTGTCTCTGCTGCTGAGGGAGAATAGGAACAACGAAAGTGTTATTCAACTGCTGTCCAACCTAAAACCTTTGCTTCTATCTGTAATGCATTACCAAAGGTCACGGTAGCTAGTACAGTATTAGATGCAGTCATTCTACTGTTAATTAAATCTTTAAGTACCCTTTTGAAAAATGAGTGAATTTAGTAAGCTGCATGCTAGCACATGCTAAAATTTTTAAAACTTCCAACTGACTTTGACTCAGTGTATTTGTCTAAACTTGCTTGGTTTGATGGCTAAGCTAAACTCTGGTTTGATGGCTAAGCATCTTCAGGAAGAAGTATACTGTTGACAGGAGAGGTCTATCAAAGTCATGCTGTGTCCAGGCAAACAACAGGTATACTGTGTTATTTTTGTTTCTATAGGTGCTTACTCTGCACAGTTAGCTTAAGCATTCGAAGGCTAGTGGAAATTCACTTAAGAGGCAGCAACCACTCATTGACACTGAAATGAAACACTGTCAGATTTGTGATACCAAATAATTCTTTTGTTCCCTCCACTTGGTGAATTATTGCTGCTGCTGGTCACTTTTGTTGGACAAGAAGCAGCAAGCACTTGCTTCTTAACAGCCCAAAGTGAAATCCCAAGTTGAAATTGTCAAGTAGCCTGCATCTGCAAGCTAATATCACTCATGTAGTCACCATCATGTCTCAGGGTCTTTCATCACAGCATCAAGTTACTCAAAAAGCTCTAAATCTACCCACACACTTTACTCAAGGGCAGTGAAATGTGAGTACCGACACATGGACATTGGTTGAAAAGTAATGAACTGATGTTTCCTCCACTGTTTTCCTCAGCTGCCCCATACTGAGTAACAGTGCAAGATCCGCAACACTAATTTTTTATGTGCAGGAATTTTATGGCAGCTTTCTTTGTACAGGTATATTACTGCTATAAAGGATCTACAAATTACAAAACACATTATGCAGAGGCTGTCACTACATGATGGAGTATCACATTTGCCATAAATGCAGTGGGACTACAGAAAAACTAATTAGCCCAAAGTAGTTCAACATCAGCCGCAGTGCCCCATCTTATCTACCTTAAGTTCTGCCCAGCAAACTGTCAGGGTAGTATTTTATTTGCAAAAGTCTACATGCCTTTTTGATTTTCTTTTTGAATAAGCATATTACAATATCTGATTGCCACATATTTTTCAAAGACTTTTCTTTACAGTCACCCAATGGCACACAGAAGCACCACCACTCCTAAGTAACCACTGGAGAACTGAAGTACTACAGACTTATTTATCGAAGGGAGATGGGGAAGAAAAGAGTATTTTGAGTAAACAAAGCTGTATCAACATAGAATGACTGCCGAGAAAATGCAATGACTTCATTACTCTCTGGAAGGTATAAATTATACTTCAAAGAAAGTAGCAAACATAGTCATTTTCACTTACTACCATTTAGTTTGATGGTTTTCCTTTACCTTTCCACATCCAAACTTCACCAGAATGTTTATCATAGTTGTTGCAGAACACCAACTGGATTGTCCTTGTCCTTTTTGTGATCCACACAGAAT